TTTTTGGGCAACTGGGTTTTTTTTTTGTATATAATTGTTTGCCAACATATTATCCAAATTGCAGGTTGTTGTGAGGAATTTTTGGGCAATTGCGTTCCAGTTAATCGAGCTGGGTTCGATGGAACCTATTTGCTGGGTTACATCGAACCCAGATCTGTTGGATTCGGTGGAACCCAGGCTGGGTTTCATCGAACCTAGCTCTACTTTTTTTTTTTTTGTTATATGTTTGTTGATCAAGAAATTATCCAAATTGCAGGTTGTTATGAGTAATTTTTGGGATTTTTTTCTTCATATTTTTTAAGTATTGTCTAAATGATTTGAATCTTGAAAATGGAAAGAACATCGTCGATGGAAAGAACAGAAACAGTAATCAATGGGCAAAAAAGCAATTGTTAGTGGTGATGTGGGACCCATTTGGATAAATTTGGTATGTTTTGGCCATGGTAACATGACATAGCAAAAGTTTTTGTGCATATTATCACTTTTTTAAATTTTGCTCTCCACATCATCAAAAAAAATATAAAAAATGCCACATAAGCAGAGTTAACGGCCCAAATTAACAGAAGGATTAACGGAGTGCATTTCGTATAGTCGAGAGATCAAAAAAATGCAAAAAATTGTTGAGGGATAAAAAATGTGCAACTCACTAAAGTTGAAGGATCAAATTTAGCATTTAACCAAAACTATTTGGCCTTCACGCAATAATTTATCCCAAGTCTTAGAATTCGAATTTATTGATTGAGAATTTAAATCTTATCAATAACTTGAAAAAAAAAAAATCATCATCCACAAAATTCACCTTTGCTAAAAAAAAAAAAAAAAAACTGTTTGATTTGATTCTTCGATTCTAATGGTTTATCGAATTGACTCTTTGATTATAATGGTTCACCTTTTAAGTCTTAGTATTTGAATTTTTTTTTTTTGTACTTACATCTTGGTATTCAATAATTACATTAGGTCTCAACTAATTCGCAATCGAGTTGAATCAGATCCATCAGGAAAAACTCTTTCAGCATCTATTTTTTCATTCATAAAACTTAAACTTAAAATTTTATTTAAAAGGAACTGAGTTCCTTCTACTAAATCCAACATGTTGTTGTTCTTAGTATTTGAATTTAGTTACTAAAAAATTTGTTTTCACCACTGACTTAAAAAAAATAAAAACATTCCCCATTTCCGAAAATTCCCAAATGTTCAAAAATAATAATAATAATAATAACTCTTCATTTTTATAAGGTAAAAATTCCTAGACTTTTCTTATTTTCTAACAAAAGTGTTAGAAAAACAAAAAAGAAACGTGTAAGCCTTTAAATCCTTAAATTTAAGCAAATTAACAATTGTATTAATAATGGAATCATATGGAATCATGTAAGTTAAGCAATTATTTCTTTTCTTTTCTTTTTTTTTTTTTGCTTGTGTCTTAATTCCTTAACAATTAAAGATTGACATGGCACGAGGCTTAATCGTTTTAATTCATAATATGAGTTATACGTTATAGGTATTTAAATGTAAAAAAATTATTATATTAGCATTTTAATATAAAAGGATTGTCATACAACTAAAAAAAAATAGTTGTTTAACTTACGGGCCACACATGATTACGTAGTTAACACGAGTTAATTTGCTCAAATTTAGGCATTTAGGGGCTTATATCCCAATTTTTTCTTTGAGGGCTTATATAAAAAACTAAGAAAAGTTTAGTTGCTTACCATTTTGGTTTTGCCAATTTAAGGCTTAAAAAGATACTGCAGGCTTTCAAGCAGATTGATATTGATACAGATTACTTTTTTAAGGTGAGGGGACTAGATGTCCACGCTTCTAAAGCTTTCTTTCCAAGCCTCCACCCTATAAATAATTCTTCAAGAGCTCTCATTTTCGCACAATTTCCATTCCATCTCATTGTTTCCAACTTTCGTCTTTCTCTTCTTTTTTCAACATTTTCTTCTTCTGCAACCATATTTGATTCTGCAATTGAGTTGATCACCCAAGCTGATTCTAGCTCTCTTTTTGTCTTCTGTTTATGCAATTTGATCATAGCCATCATCCTCATTGGCTCAAAATCGTCCTCCACCTCTCACCAGGACACCACAATTCCTCTATATGTAGTCTCCAAACCAAAAACAGGTGATAAAGGAAGGCTCAAGGCTCAAGGCTCAAGGCTCAATGTCCGTCCAAAAAACACGAAAATTCAACACCGTATGTCGATGGCATTAGAGTTTCATTTGCTACTATTAACAATCCGGATACAGAGGAAAAGGAAGGAAAAATGAAGAATCACAAAAACAATGGTCTTGGTAGCTGCGAGCTAGATAATGATGATATCAGGAGAAGAGTGGAGGAATTCATTGCCAAGGCCTATAGAGAACGAAGAGCAGAACAATCCAGGATGGTTCGCGAAGCCTTTTTAACATTTTCTGCAATAGCATTTGGAGTCTGAATTTCCATGTAATTACTAGGGGTAATTAAGGATCTCTGTGTTTCTGGGATGTTTTAAAAGTTTTCCCAATTGATATTTTGCTTATACTTCTCTTTCAAATGGAAAAGGGGATCAATGTAGAACTTAGCGCATGCTCCCTATTTGTTTGTTAAAAAAAATTTTGTAAACAAAAAGACCACATCCTCTTTTGGTACAAGGTGCGCTCACCAGTTGCCAATTGGGATCCTTTTTTTTCTGTTTTTGATGTGATAATTGACCTCTAAAATTCATAGGTGGCTTTGTTTCATCACCACAGTTTTGTTAATTTGTCACTCGGCATGACATTCCGGAATGTTTCCTCTTTCATACTCTTTTTCTTTTTAGTACAAAAAAAGTACAGGATGATGAGAGATTACCTAGTACAAACCTAAGAAAATTCAATCAAAGATTTCGAATATAAGTCAACTGTCTAACTTTTCTTATGTCCCAGCAAAAGTAAAAAAAAAAGGGGAAATAGTAAATAAGAACAAAACCAATCAAATAACCAAGAATGCACCGAATCAAAAGATGAATTAGTGTGATCAGCAGCTGAGTTCCTGATGCCCTGAATAGGATTTAAAGAAGTTGAATTTGTTCCGGGGTAGGATAAAGCAGAAGTGAGAACTGGCTTTACTCCACCATGGGATGTCTTCAATTCTTCTGCGGAGATGGTATTGACAATTGCAAGGGTGACGAACGTGGGGTATATTGCTGTCTGCCCTTTTGTGAAAGCTACTCAAAATGTATAATAATTGAATTTATTTTGATTAATTTCATTAGTTAATAATTTTACAATTAGTTATAATATTTAAAAATATTTAAATTAATTTTAATTTATTAAATAATAAATATTAATAATTCTATCAATTAACAATCTTAACAGAGGTGACCGTAACAGTTCCCGACAAGGTGGCGTGGACTGATCAGCTAGCTGCTTCTCGTCCTCCGGCCTTCTGCTCCTGCTGGTGGCCCAGCAGGAAACTTCTCACAACAACCTGGCGTGTAATTCACATGCCAGACATCGTAAATCCAGCGTATGCCACCTCAGCAAGCCATGTATTGACACATGTTGTTCAGTCACTGCCATGTCACCATTTACATGTCACCTAAGCCATGTCAACATGTTACCGGACACGTCATTACCCACGTCACCCCATATCAGTACCGTTGTGGAGCCTTGCCATTAAGGCTATGTTTGGTAGAGTTAGTAGGAAATTTTTTTAAACTTAAAAAATTCCAACGGCACCAAACACTATAATTTGTGAAAAATGTTACAACTTCTCATAAGTTATTATTTTGTTTATTTTATTATAAATCTTAAAAGTACCAAATTGATATTTTCATAGGAGTTTTTTATTTGGATTTTAATAAAATTAACATATTATTTTTATTTTATCTTTATTTTTTTTATTTATAAAAATTGTACTTTTATAACAGTTTTTTTCTAACAAAACTTTTATTAAAAGTTCCAATTACACTAAATGGGTACTAAATCTCTCAACTTCTTCCTACTTTACAAGTTGACCCCCATATTTTCCTAAATCCTAAATTACCCCCACTTCCAAAACACTAACTTTCCAAAAGCCCCTTACCCACCTAATTTTTTATGTTCCGGATCCATTTTTGAGGTTCAAATTGTCAAATTCTCACCCTTTCTACCCATTCTTGTCAACATGCCCTCAAGAAGACAAAATCCTCTTCGTCAACTAGTTATCCGAGACATAGAGACGAAAGAACCCTGTTAACAAATTCAAAGGCTTCAAGAAAGAGTAGAAGCTTTTGAAAGTCAACAAATTCAAATGTTAATATATCATTGTAGTTGCACTGACTGGCCATAATTGTAATTATTTCTCTAATATTTTTGAAGTGTTGCCTCGTTTGCCTTGATTAGGAGTTTTGAACACATCTACCACACTTGAACAAATTGAACTTCAAATTGCTAAGGTTAAAGAGGAGGGTTTTAGCAAGAAAGAAATACTTGAGAAGGTGGAGAAAATGGTTAAATCCCTGTGACGAGGAGTGTTGGCTTGAGGATTATAACAGGGTTGGCATTTGCATGATCTTCTTTGGGTGAATGCTTGTATCATCATATGGTTGCCTAATTCAACTTTGGTTCTGCAGGATCAGAATAGATACAATGCAGGGAA